AATCTCAACAATGCTGACTCAAAGGTTTAAGGCATTGCTTAAATCCCTTGATTAACCCAGCTTCTCAATATTTGACATGAATCAATAACTCTGAGATGTCTTTTCTGTTCTCTAGCTTTGTAAATATTTACACAGCCAGTCCCATGAAATATGACATTTAATCCTGTTGAAGTAATTATTTGAATGCTGCATATGAAGAGATATAAAGTATAATAGTTCCAGTGATGCTAGTTAAATAATTGGCACTAAGGATGAAATCTGCTGCATTTCTTTTGTCAAAAGCCAGGATTTATGCAATATAAATGTGAGTAAATGGAAAGCAAAATCCACTTTCTGTCCCAAAGCTTGGACCAGCTGCTGGAAATGAAGATTTCCTTATCCAGTCCCATGCCTGGGCCTATGCCTTAGCATTGACAGCAACCTTTTGTTCCAGTTAAATGAAGTGTTGAGAGCTAGAAGAAAGGCAATAGTAAAGGGATGGCACCTCTATTAGCTTGTCCTCTGCCTTTCCCTTCTGGGACACGCTGTAATGAATGATCTCTGCACTCCAGGAAGCAGGAACATGCTCTACCAGGTTTTCAGGACCTGGGGAAGACTTCTGTAGGAATCCCAGTGCAATAGGATTATACCAGCCCTCCAGACTGTGGCTGGAATTCCTGTTAAGATTTGCAGCAGGTTTGTATTTAAATGATTTAACTTGAGGCACAGTGATACGCTTGTTCCTGTGACGCTGCACTTTTAGTCATTGTTTACTGATTCCGTCTGATTCATCTGTGCGTTCTGCCAGGTTTTGCAGTTGTAGTCTTTGCCTCTAGGTAGCCCAGCAGTAGGAGGAATTGGGAAATAATGAGGGAGCAGAGAGGGATCACAGTGGGACAAGATATTCAGAGTTGGCCTGCAAGAAATCAGAGTTGGGTCTTAAGAAATGCTCCATTCTCATGCAAACTTGGACCTTTCTGTTCTTCTAGGATGGATTCTCATCCTAAGACAGTCTACAATAGCATATTTATTGGCTTTCCTATGGAGCAGTGAGAAAAAAGGAGGGTCCAGTTCTCAAATCTATAATAAAGACCTTTTTTTCTTTGAAAATTTTCCAACTGTGATAAAAAATACAATAGGTTTCTACTGTTTCTTCTGAAACTGTTCTCCAGCTTATTCTGCCTGTTAAAAAGTGGAGGAAATGGTTGATTGTGTGGTAGTAATTCAGGATGTGGGCAAAGATGTTTCTTAATTGCTTTATCATGCCAAGCCCCTTCAGAAGCCTTCATTGTATAGAAAGGTCTCCGTGCTGAGGTGGTGCTGTGCTTGTGTGGCCCAGTTTGATCACTGCATAATCCAAGCAGACAGATGCATGCTGCAAAGGACAGTGCTCCACAGAAAAGGTGACATGGCAAGTCAGAGAAATTACTCTATTTTCCTGAGTTTATGCCTGTAAAGCTCTTAGGAGGTATTTTGACCAATATACCCACAAATATGTATAATTCTGGCTAGGGCAAAATTCAGATGATTGCATTTGTTACTAATGGAATCTTCTTCAGCTTTGTTTCCATATTCTGTTGTATTGCTTCTCTTATTGATTATTTCTCCTCTCTGAACCCTAGGCTGAATAGCATGTGCAGAATGCTGCTTATATTTAGGGGTGTACTTTCAGGTACTTTGGGATTGAAAAAAAAAAGATGTCTCTGAACAACAGTTTGCATTTTCAGGTACACCTGAAAGTTTTGAATGCCCAGGAAATTTGAGGGGATTTGGTCCAATTGGAAATCAGGCTAGAGAAAATATACCAAAGTATAAATTAAAACTTTCAAAGATGAAAATATCAAACTAATTATCTTGGTTAAGAAAAAATAAAATCTTTTGCTTAGTCTGGGTAATTAATGTTAGTGTAGATATCAAGTTACCAAGTACATAAAATAGTAATGGGACAAATTAAGAGAGGAGCGTCAATGTGCATAGACATTTGCTCAGTCAACCAAAGTGCCTAAAGGCTCAGCTGCAAGTCTAGAAAACATAAAGACTGAGGTCTAAAATAGGAAATGTTATTTTTGATTTTTTTTTCTCTTTCTCCACTTTGTGTTTTACCACAGAACCAAACAAAAAAAGGCTGCAGGTAATGGTCATGGAGTGCTTGAAGGGCATTTGCCTTCCCTCATCACAAAGTGAAGGTATGTCAGACACTTCTAGCTGCAAAACATACATGCAGGAATCCCTGTGGGATTCAGCTGTGAGGACTAAGTGATCTGATCAATCTTTTCTGTATCTCTTGTTGATAATAATTATTTGTACTTAAAAGAAGGAATAATTTGAGGAATGGTTGGTTTGGGGTTTCTTTTCCCCCTTAGGTGCAGAGCAGAACTCAGAATTCTCATGGCAAAAAAAGGCCAGAGAGCAGATGAGGTGAGATGACAGATTGGGGTAAAACACGAGCAGCCAGCTCACAACAAGTGAGTTCATTGCGTGACAATCTTCCTGCTCTTCCCTAGGGAGTCAGCAGAAGGGTTCAAGAAGGAGCAGATGGAAACAGCTGCCAACAGATGAGTACTGGAATGGATTCAAGCTACACTACTTGCTGGAACTTGAGAGTTTGTGATGGTCTGAGCTTTCCTAACAACAGGTATCTAAGATTTGGAACCAGGCAGCTGTCAGTCAGTTCTTATTTATGAGGACCAGAAAAAAACTCCACTGTTGCCCTATAGAGTGGGGAATCTTTTAAGCTGTGGCTGCAGATAGTACTAAAGATAAAAGAACCCTACTAAGATATTTTTCATGAATGTGTCTATCTCATAGTGCGTTCACTTAAAATGGTTTTTCTCTTGACCTTGAGCTGAGATTTAACAGGTGGGTGAAAGATAAATTTAGGAAGGCCAGTGATGCAATGCTGACACTTTTATGTCTTCTTGCATAATTTCGAGCGTACCATGAAGAATAATAAATGGCAAAAGCTAAAGTGTCCTTGGCAAACAAACAAACAGAATAGCACCCTGTGATATTTTTACCTTTGTTTCCCCTTACCACACACAGTTTTTACTCCCACAGAGCTTGAAATATTAACCCAGCATGTTAATTTATTTCTTCCAGAGTTGCCCTGACCATTGCATTTAACATCTCTCTTGGAAGTACTTCAAACCAAGTGGCTGGCTCCATCTCTAGCTTTGTTAATTAGGCACATTACTTCGTTGCTTTTTTTCTTATCACTTAATGTAATTGGCATCTGTGAAGCTTTTGAAAGGCATGTTTGGGACTACATTTTGTGCAGCTGGCTTTCAACTGCAAGCTGTTTCAAGTGTGTAGTTCTGCAGAGGACAGCCTTTGAGAGCCTCGAGCACGAGTGCCTAGCACATACCCGCTTCCTTTCCAAATGGAACAAAGGGATGTGAGTGTGACCTGTCCCATACAAAGGAACACGTGTGACACATGAACCCCCTTGCATCCATGCCATTAGATCTGTAATGAGAGCATTACGTGCCCTGGATGGAGAATGGGTCTCCCTTTACAAGCTGTTGTATAAATGCTTTGCTCTGTGATGCTCTTCATCCTGAACTTTAGTCCATACATAGGGATGCCTTGCCATATAAACAAAAGGTTTTTTTCCCATAAAAATGCATCTTTGAGCATCCAAACTCAAACCATGAGCTTGTACTTGCTGTAATAATCCCAGTATACTGTGTCAACTGCCAGCAAGACTGATGAATTTTCACTGGCTAGGAATTCAGTTCATTGATTTCAATTGTTGCGGTGTGAAATGATGCTCTCTACCTGAGCTGAGAAAGAGTTAGATGTGAGAGTTTAGGGGGGAAAAAGGAATGTATATACTAAAAAAAGATGTCGAAGTCCTGTTTTTCATGGAAATGCTGCCCTCCGGTGGCCAGGAGAAAAGCTTACACACTGCTTGTTGGTTCAATAATGTACTTTCACGCTGCAGCAGCTCTCAAATGTAGATTGTCTAGGCTTCTGCCTCAGGAAACTCGCAGGTGCCATAAAAACAAGTTTAAAAATTCAGAACAAAAAGGTATTGTTTCATTTTGTTTAGGATTCAGAAGTAGAGCATTGATGTGAAAGAAAGGAATGTTGTGTGGCCACAGTATAAAGGGAATCATAGAATGGTTGGGTCAGAAAGGATCATAAAGATCACCTTGTTCCAACCCCTCTGCTATGGAAAGGGACACCTCTCACTAGACCAGGTTGCTCAGAGCTCCATGCAGCCTGGCCTTGAGCACTTCCAGAGATGGGGCACCCACAATTTCTCTGGGCAACCTGTGCCAGTGTCTCACCACGCTCACAGTAAAGAATTTCTTCCTAGTACCTAATCTAAACCTACTCTCTTTCAGTTTGAAGCCGTTCCCTTTGTCCTGTCACTACATGGTCTTTTGAATAGCCTCTCTTCATCTTTCTTGTATTTTCCCTTCAGGTGCTGGAAAGCCACCCTGAAACCTTCTCTTTTCCAGGCTAAACAATCCCAACTCTCTCAGCCTTTCCTCATAGGAGAGGTGCTCCATCCCTCTGATCATCTTGGTGGCCTCCTCTGGACTCACCACAACAGGTCAATGTCCCTTCTGTGCTGAGGACCCAGAGCTGGAGGCACAGCTCCAGGTGGGATCTCACCAGAGTAGAGTAGAGGGGAAAATCACCTCCCTTGGTCCAGCGGCCAAGATTTGTGCCCAACTGAGGGACTTTGTCACCAGAGAATGTTATTGTGATGCTGCTGTCATCTGCAGTTCCTCTGCATCTGCCCCACCTGCCTTCTTGGCAAGCAGCCTGTCTCCCTCAGGACCACTGCTCTCAGCACAGGCCTTACAATGCATTCAAAGACTTTCCATTTTCTCCTGCCTTTTGTCTCTATTTTTCACCTAAAGAAAAATAGAGAGGTGCCCCAGAATTTGTCTAGCAATAAAAAAGCCAAAACCCAACCAACCATACTAATCTTACCATTTTTTTTTCTCTCTGTTTCTGTAGAAGGTTCTTAGTAGGGTGGAAATTGGGTTTTCCAATATATTTTTCTTGATGCTCCTAATGTACGGGCCTCTAGGTGCTGTCTGAAGACTGTCACGATCTTTGCTGTTTCTGCACCAACAAACCTGACATGATGGAAAGATGATAAAACAGAACATGGAGTTCACCAAGCAATGATTTGAGGAAGAAATGTAGTTAATATTTTTCCCAGCAGATGTGGCTGTTGGACCAGAAAAGGCTCAAGGTCAGTTCAGGTGGGTTAGGGAGAACTGTGGAGATTGGGGGACCCCTTTTACTGCCATGGATATGCAGCACACGGAGGTAACTGTGCTGACAGGCTTCTGAGTGAATCTGACTCCCAACAAAAAACCCCAACATCCCAATGAAAATTGCAACCTCCCTCAGTCATGTGATTAAGTGGGTTATTGTCTGTTAGAATTTTTAGTAAATTTTTAATAAATAGTTACAGCATTTGCCTTGCTATTGATAAATGTGAGGTTATGCATTATTACATAAATAGCACAGCTGTTGATGTTGCTAAGATGCCTGTAGATGATAAAAGTTATTGCTGTTATAGTAAGAAAATGTGAATTCAGTGCCATGTTGACTGTATTATTGGGAAACCCCTGAGGTTTTCTATCACCCCATGGTTACAGGATAGATCAGTTTTCACCATTAGCTTACAGTGTTAAATCTTTATTCACAAGTGGCTGTGTATGCAAAATGTAGGTTTCTGGGTCCACAGGGAAATTTCTGGATTCCTTGTACTGACCCAAGTGGCTCTGTCAGATGTGTTCCTAATTCCTGCTGGGTCCTGGGAGGGAAAGGCCTATCTGACAGCTCTTATGTATTATGCTAGGGACCATCCCCTCCCTTGTTAGCCCTGAAATTTCAAGATGGAAAGGTCTCCACTTTAATGACATTCCCAGTTGCACAACAAGCCTGTTGAGAAGGGAGCATGCTGCATCCATCAAGGAGAGGAGGTCATGGCTGTTCAACAGTTTTACTAGAAAACCAGTGATTTGAGAGGCTGAGGGAGGGTGAGCTGATAGTAAATAGTGCTTAATGAGGTACTTGAATGTGCCTCCCAAGATGATCTCCAGGTCATGCTGTCAGAGATTTGCACTCTGACTCTACACAGGCCTTTTTACCTACTGCCTGTGAAGCCAAGATTGCCACATGCAAGTTATGTGAAATGACCTTCATACCATCTCCTGCTATCACAGGCTCCATGTCAGCCACTCATTTAGGAAGTGTTGCAGGCTTTCAGCACTATTATGGGGGCAGTTTCTGGATGGTACTTGGAAGATCAGGTGAGCACTAAAGCCTGGCAGCTTGTTCAGAGGCTTGTGCTCAGGGGGATCGGCACATCTGAGAGTGTTGTGACAGAAATGGGTCAGTGACCAGAGCACCAGCAAAGGGTCACAGCAGGGAGTTTGTCCTGGCTTTGCACTGCTACCTGAACACTATCCCAGACAGTATGTGCAGTAGCCTGAAAATATTCCTACTGAAGCTGGAAATATTCCTACTGATTTCAAGGAAATTTTTAAATAAAAATGAAATATTAATTAATTCATTCATTACAATTCATGAGGTATAAGGTACAAAGGTTTCCTTGTCTGTTTTGAATGTAGTACTTCTGAAGATGGCAGTTTTGGCTCTTTGCACATTTTGAACCTTTTAAATATCCCTGCAAAATGTAAGATGTAAAATGAAAACTGCTTTTCTGTCCACTTTCAAGGGGTTTTTTAAAGTCTTTATCTTGAGTTGAAAGTGACAAGTCATTGTAGGAGAGCAGTATCTGGTGTGAAGGAACTGCCAATTTAATATTTCTTTAATATATTTGGATACAGATAATAAAATCTTTTTAAAGGGAAAACAGATACCAAGAATAGTTCATATATCTTTTACCTAAAATTGAATGTTTGGTATGTGAAATACTTCTGTAGCAGTATTGCTATGATAATGCAGGATATGGTGTTTAACACTGTAATTTGCAATTTTATTGCAGTTTGTTGTGGAATATTGAAAGTAGGAAAAAGATCCTCTTCATTCTCATACTGGCAAATGATCTGATGAAATGTAAAATTGGAGCATTTATTACATGTAAGTGAGATATAAATTTATTCCTCTTCACTTCTTCCATAGCAGCGGTTTGAGTGAGATAAACCAGTAATACTGAGTTTGTCATGCAGTGCTTTCTTAAGCTACCAAATCAAATCAAACATTCCTAAAATGTGCACTTATCATTATATTTGAAGACAGCTACTTTCCTTTATTTGTTTGTATCTGCATGACTTTCCTTGTGGAGGCAGTGTTCCTTAGGAAACATCATTTTGAACTGGAAAGTTTATGTGGCAAAAACTTTCAGACTGTCAGTGTGTGTTTGGAGCCCATGCTGGAGTGTTTTTGTAGGTAGACCAAGGTAGACTGCACTTTGTCTTGTAGGATCAACCCAAAATGCCTAAATTCATCTTCAGGAGTCCAATTTAAGACCCAAAGTTTGTACATATTGGATCAGCCTTGCATATACTCCTTGGCTGTGTCAGAACTGAAGCTCTGAATCCAAATATTACTAGCCTCAAAATATTTACTGATAGACTGGGATATATTTCTATCAGTTACATGCTGTCCTCTTCATGCACAGGGCTTTGTTTCAAATATATTTATTACCTTAGAAATAAACAGGAAGAGATGGCACAAGAGAACAATTTTCCTTATCTAAGTAAAAAATAAATATATTTGTAACCTAAACATGTATTTATCAGTGCTGACACCCTTTGGCCTTACTCCAGTGAACTTTTTTTCACTGACATCAATGGGAGAAAGATGGGCTCTGCATAGGAAACCTATGAATATTTTTTCCTCATCATCTATCCATCTATTTTGAGATGTGCTAAATGCCTGTTCTCTGTTGTAACATTAACATCAGTATGTGGAAACTCGAGTGGCTAAAATAAATCAGTGAAATGCAATATACATGACTTCACATGGAACTGCATGTACATTGTTGAGCACAAGTGCCCTGTGCCCTCTCTGCCATGCCAGCCCTACAGCCAGGTACTCCCCATTGTGTCCCTCAGAAGTGGGGTGCAAGCAGTGCAGGCATGAACTCTGCACTGCCAGCATGTCCAGAGCCTCTGTCATTCCTGAGCTGCCAAAATACTTTTTGGTTGCCATTTAATAGCAGTAAAATTGATACTTCTACCAGCCTCAAATTATGGGGATTAAAAGATCTTAAGTATTTCACAAAAGCATTTTTTTGAATCTTTAGCATCGCGGGCCTGATTTGGCCTGATTTCATTGCTGAAGGCAATGAAAATTATATTGATGATGTGTGAGGTCCTGATTTTTGAGGCAACTGTCTCTCCTTAGCTTTTATAAGGGATACAGGCTTCCAACTAACCTGGGCTATTTTTCCAACCTTAGTTAAGACCCTCCTGATTCATGACAGTATGACACATTCTCAAATTAGTTTGATTTTTATTTTTAATGGAAAAATGAAAGGGGTAAGCTCAATCTTTATGGGCTGGAGTGTTTTCTGCCCACAGGGAGTCAGTGGGAGACCTTTACAAAGTCGGACTTTGATGAAGATGATGAGTGGCCAGTCCTGCCTCAGAGCCTCCTCTGATCCATGGGAGCCTGGGCTGCTCCACAGAATGGTCCCATGCCTCCGCACTGATTTATCATCCACCATGACCCCAAGCTCATGGATGAGGAAGGAATACCCATGGCTGCTACCATCCCTGCCCCTCTGGAAAAATCACCAAGCTTGGAGCATGACTGCCCCAGGAAGAAGGAGAAGCAACTGCATTGCTTTGCTCAACACGTGGAAGCTTGCTCCTCTCCTCTCCACAGAACATTGATCTTCAAGGCCATACATGATTTAAGGAGTGGGAGACATTCCCTGGAATTAGCTGTTCCCTCTTTCTTTTTCCTGCTTAAGGTAAGAGCTGCACAAACTCCCTCTATAATAGTCACCTAACAGAGAACACAATGACTAGTCTGTCATCAAAGTATTTAGGGATGATGACGATACCTAGATTGGTTTTCAGCGTGCTTTTTGTTTTGTTTTTATTTTACTGTGTTTCTACAAAATCCATAAATCATAGGGATGTGATAAGAAACAGGTCATAGTTGCTGGTTATTCTTGTCCAGATGCACAGAAACGCCCTGATTGTTACTTTCCAATGACAACCAGCTCAGGGCTAAACATTTTTCAGTTGCACAGCCAGCTTTCAAGGTTACACATAGATACTGAATGAAACAGAGCCCACTGGCTATTTTTAGAGAGGCTCTAAACAAGAAGCAAATCCCTGGAGCAGTGCTGCCAGAGATGCATAAAGTTCAAATCCAAATTAAAACTGCCTATCTTTGGCCTACATTCCAACTTGAACTTGAGGAAAACTGTGATCTGTGACTTGAACTTAATGACAAAAACTCCTTTGCAATTAGTTTCTAATACCTGGGAATACATGAGCTTAGTACAAACACTTGAAAAATAGAACTTGAATGAAAAATGTAAACTCTTGTCCCAAAATGTTCTTGTGAGTTTTGTATGAGGTTTCAGTAGCTACACTGGAATTTGTAGAATCTCATTTTTTGTGATTCTTAGTTTCAACACATCTTTGTAAGATCAAGTGATCCAATGTAATTGTAAATTTTGGGGGCAGGAGGAGGAACATGCTTATTTATTGATCCCTCTAATAATGGCCTGTGATGCTCAGGTCTAGCTTTAGCAGTGACCACAACAGAATATGAAGAAAGGAGACCCTTTGACAGCAGCATGTTTATGCAAAGTAGTGCAACTGAAGCATGTTCTTGATTTCTTTGCTGAATCAGAGCCTGTATCTTCTTCCTGCCAAGGCAGAGATCTAATACCACTCCTAAATGCACTAGTAATTCTAGAAGCCCTAAGGAAAGTCAAGATAACACCACAGATTTTATAAATAAGGGTCTTTATTTAGAATACTGGTGAAAACATTCTTGGCAACCACATCGTATAAATATATAAAGTTAAAGTTTGACACAACAAACCAAGCAATATTAAATATTTTTAAATTTTTCCCCTTTTTAAGTTTTTGGTTCTTTCTTTTTTTTCAAATTTATTTATTTTGCTCTTTTTTCTTTTTTTTCTCTCTTTTTTTTTTTTTTTTTGGAAAGCAACTCTTATTTACAATTATACAAAAGTTTTTATAAAAAATGGTCCACAACCTTATTTTGGCCAGAACAGGAGTAATAGGAAGGATCTATCATGCCTCTACTTCTGTAGATTTCTATTTTCCTCCACATTCAAGAGCCAGCTTCCTATTCCCCACAGCCCGGATTAAACATTGGCCATTTCATGGTATACAATTTTATCTCTAGATGTATTAAATAACTTTAGTTTAACAACCAATAAATAACTATGTGTACTTTGAAGTGATACAGGTTTGCAAAGTTAGTTGAAGGAATTTTCAGTGATATTTTAAAATTGGAACAAGTCTTTAGAAGTCTTTTCAACCTTAGAAGGCAGGTCTTGAGCGAGGCCAAACGGAGCAAACTGGTTTTGGTGCAGTCCAGCTGGAGGGGTCCTTATAGCACTTGGTAGATGGGGTTGCTGCTGCTGCTATCCTGGGGGAGTGGGGTGCAGTTGGTGGGGGAAGGAATTTGGGCTCCACCATCACTCAGACTCACTCCTTCTGGAGGGGAACAGGGACTCCCTTCAGCAACAGTTTCCACTGGAGGCAGTATAGGGCATGTGGAATTATCTGTGGAAATCCTCTCTACAATGCTTGAGAGGCAATCGAGACTGGAAACAACAGAACTCTTCCCATGCTTTGGATCTAAAAAACAGACAAAAAGGTGCTCAGATTATCCAGTTGGTAATTAACATTTGTGGGCATGTGAAGACTCAGAGGAAATAGTAACTGGTGAAGGACACCAATAACCAGAAAACAGATTGTCATTTCACAATGGAAGAGAGGTGCAACCACAGTGTGCTGCTCTGGGGACAGGGAGGATCTAAGGCTCCACTGAGTCCATAGAAAGGGAAGAGCGGATTTAAAATCAGTCATAAATTATTCCATTTTGGATCAATGAGAGAGTAAGAAGTCTTCATGTAGAATATGGTTAAATGCTGAAATTAGTCGCATAATACTTCTATCCAACTGTTAGATTTGCAAAATGGGAAATACAGCTATAACACATCCCCATATTTGCAAATACACCTAGAGGAAATCCAGGGCCCCTACCAGCAGCAGTGGCTTGCTGGCTGGAAAGGCAGGTTCCTCTCTCAGCCCAGCTGGACACGGAGCAGGCACAGGGAAGCTGCTGCACTGCCTGCCTCTGTCTCTGTGTTTCACACTGCTGTTAGGACATGTACTCACCATTTGGGGACTCTGTGTAGTAGCTGCTGTCATAGCTGTTCCTTCTGCGAGAGCTGCAGGGGGGCCCACTGTACTCCATCTGGGAAGGAGAGAAATCCAAGGGAGGTCAGACTCTTACCCAAATCCCAGGAACCATCTAATTTCATATTTCAGGTTCTGGTCTGTTGCCATCATTCCAGTCCTGTCTGAAATGCCATCGAGTAGTAGAATCTTTGAGTAAGAAAAAACGTGTCTAGAAGGGGGTCCACCCCAGAATAGTTTATGTGGCACAGCTGTTCCACAGGAAAGTTACCACTCTTGCATAGAATGCTGCAACTTTACAGATGAGATGAGGCTTTCCAGCATTCTGATTAGAATGTATCTTTATGGATCTTTAGTTTACAACAGGGAGACCTGAGTAAACTGGTTATCCTGAGACCTGTCTGGTCCCCTGAAAGGGGAATTATGTCTTTTTAATTTAGTTTTTGAAGACTTTTCTAAACATTAATTCCTCTTTAAAAGCCTCTGTCTACCTTGTCCCTTTGTATTTCCTTCAGCTTCTCTTCCCATTTCCATTTCGTATAGAAAATGCTCTAGAACATTGACTAATATATTTGTTTCCAATAGTTTAATCCACAATCAAATTCCTGTATTAGAAGAGGCTGTATCTTGAAGAGGAATAATTTGTGTAAATCTCTCCAATCTGTTAAGTATCTCATAATCACAGATAATGAACTCAGTAATGACTATCCCCTCCAGAGCACAACAAGCAGTCTCTGGTCTGAAAGGGCAGTTCATGGTCTATCCAGAGAGCTGTCCTGGACTCTGGTCACCACATCCCACCAGCCCAGAGTCACACCAGAGGCTGAACCTACAGCCCCAGCCAAAAGATGTGGAGACACCCTCTCTGGCACTCACCCTTCTTCTCCCATGCCCATAATATACAAACTGGACTGAAAGCCTGGATTCTCCTTCCTATTGCTTGTAAATATCTATGGAGGGGATGACGTGAGTGAGAAGAGAAATGGATAATCTTTTTCTTAAGGGTCAAAAAAACCAGTTCTTGTTGCTTAGACACTCCTCCTGTTGTCATGATGAATGGCGGAAAACAAAACCCAGACTCTTACCAATTCCCGCGTAACTACCATGTCCTAGGGGGCCCTTGCTCTCTGCTGTCCTTAGAGGATTCAAAGGTAATGATACAGCAGAAGATGGAAACAGAGATGCCTCAGAAGCTATGGGATCACAGGCAATGCCCCCATTCCAGGCAGCTTCCCAAAGTTCTCCCCCAGCAACTTTGCCCTGGCTCCTCCAGGACATGGGGAACCTGCCTAACTTCTTATCCTAGGGAACAAAGTGTATAAGAGATTCTTCTTCTTTCCCAAAGATCCTGCCATGTGGGGACCCCACCTCCCTTCGCTGTGGGTGCTCAAGGCACGACAAAGGACTTTGTCTTCTGCCTGGGGAGGTACAGAAGGCAGCTGCTATAGGAAGGGCAGGAAGAGGTGACTCGCCCTGCTCAGGTTTGGACCAGCAGCGTCCAGGGCACCTTGGTGGCAGGGAGTCCTCCCTGGGGCACTCACCATGCCATCGGAGCAGTTGGAGCGGGGGCTGGAGGCGTCCGATTCCCCGCTGTAGTGCTCCAGCACCGGGTAATAAGCGTCCTCCTGCTCACGCAGCAGGGCCTGCAGGCTCTCGATGTAGCGGATGGCGTTGCGCAGGATCTCCACCTTGGGCAGGCGCTGGTTGGGGTTGGTGGAGGTGCAGCGCTTGAGGGTCTCGAAGGCCTCGTTGACCTTGCTGAGCCGCCGGCGCTCCCTCATGGTGGCGGCCTTACGGCGGTCGGCATTGGTGGTCTTCCTCTTGCACGCCTTGCAGGCCCACAGCAGGCAGCGGCCGGCCTGGTGGTGCCCGCTGGGCGCCCGGACGTGCTCCTCCTCGTGCCCGTGGTGGTGCCCGTGGTGGTGCGGGTGCTCCTCGGGCTTCAGCAGACCCCCGACGTGCACCAGCCGGGGGTCCAGGTCCTCGAAGAAGTGCATGTCCGACGTGTTGAAGCACGGGTCATCGTAGAAGTCATCGGCGGCTGTGAAGGAGCAGAGGGAGCCCTCCGTCATCTCCATGGGGCCAAGTAAGTCCATGGGGGCGGCAGAGGGGACAGCGGCTAGGCCAGAGGGGACAGCGAGGGGCTCGGAACGGAGGGGCCTTCGACCGGGCTGCTCTGCGGCCGGGCGGGTGCGCAGAGCCGAGACTCTCGCAGCCTGTCCCAGGCGAGGCCACCAGCGCTGGCTGCTGCCCCGACCCCCCTCCGCAGCCGCGCCGGTCCGGGAGCGCCACTCGGGGCCGTATTTATGGCCGAGCCCCCCGGCGCGGCGGGTCGGGACGGGGCGGGTCGGGGGGCGCGGCCGTGCGGGCTGGGGGCCGGGGCGGCGGGGGGGGCGCGGTGTCCCGCTGGGGCAGGGGCAGCGGCGGCCCGGGCGCTCGGATGCGCGCAGGGCTGCATTTCCCGTTTGTTTTTTTCTTTTCTCAGCAGCCCGCCCTGCCACCGCGCCAGGGAGAGCGGCCGCCCCGATGCCCGAAGGTGCCGGGTGCCGCTGGCCTCTCGTTCGGGGGGAGAGCGGCGCGCCCCGCTGTCCCCGCACACACCGGTGTGTGCTTCTCCCTCACAGGGAACAAGCCCCCAGCCCCTGGACAGGTCTGTCCGCGGCCACAAGGGTAATTACTGCGGGGGCTCCAGGGGACACCGCGGGCAGCCGGGACCGTGCGGGACGGCGGGGAAGCGGAGACACCGCGGAGCGGCAGGAGGTGCGGGGCAGGGGGAAGCGGAGACACCGCGGAGCGGCAGGAGGTGCGGGGCAGGGGGAAGCGGGGACAGCGCGGAGCGGCGGGAGGTGCGGGGCAGGGGGAAGCGGGGACAGCGCGGAGCGGGCGGAGGTGCGGGGCAGGGGGAAGCGGGGACAGCGCGGAGCGGGCGGAGGTGCGGGGCAGGGGGAAGCGGGGACAGCGCGGAGCGGCAGGAGGTGCGGGGCAGGGGGAAGCGGAGACACCGAGGAGCGGCAGGAGGTGCGGGGCAGGGGGAAGCGGAGACACCGAGGAGCGGCAGGAGGTGCGGGGCAGGGGGAAGCGGAGACACCGAGGAGCGGCAGGAGGTGCGGGGCAGGGGGAAGCGGGGACACCGCGGAGAGCCGGGACGGGCAGGTGGCGGCCACCCGGTGGCGCTGCGGGCCTGTCCCAGCGGGAAGCGCCGCCGGGCCCGCGGTGCGCCAGCCTTCCTGCCCTCGAGAATCCGTCCCTGCGAACTCTGGCATTCCGGGTTCCTCCTCCAGCTCTGTTTACCTTCACTCGGAAACCTTGGGAGAGATGGATCTCACTCCGTGCCGCGGCTGCGGTTTTGCTGCGGTTGCGCTGCAGTTGGACGGCTCGCTCGATAAGGATTTATTTCTAGCAGGGGGAGAGTTTGGAGCTTGGGGAAATGGGATGAGCTTTGGTAACGCCCTCAAGGGTGCCAGAGTTTTTACTCTGGTTTTTCTGAGTATCATTTGAGATGGGAAATTAGGTTCTTCTCAGTGGAATTCAGCAATTCAGCTGTATGATTTCACTGACTTAATGATTAAAAGAGTAGTGCATATATTTAATGTCCCACAAGCTAAAAATAATTTCTGTTCTGCAATTATAAATGTTGGCGAAATTTCGGCTTGTTCAAAATCAGCAGCAAAGCTCTGCCGTCAGTGGGACAAGGGGCTGACTGACAGAATTGCAAAAGGTAAAAAACATCCATCAATGATCAATTCCCAGTCCCTGTGCCTGTGACTTCTCAGATGGGCTGTCATGATTCATGATGGTGGCTTCTTTTGTTGTTACACCATTTGTTTTTTGGCAAAAATTCCTAATCTGCACTCCCCATTTTCTACTTACCTAAATATCTTTGAGTACAGACTAAGATGAGTGCTGTGAATATCTCTAAAAGATAAAAGTTTTATTTAAAGATAAAACAATATGTAGAAATTCATCCTTTCAATGTACCTGGTGCTGAAAAATATGTCCCAAGAAGGCAGATCAGCTACTGGCCACCCCTGCACATTTAGAAATGTATCTCCCAGCTGTGTCTGGCAAATTTCTGGAGACACTTCAATGTTATTACAGATGTTCTTTGATCCAGAAGGAATAAAGATAGTTGGTTTTAAATCTTTATTGAACAGCTAATAAAGTAAAAATAATTTGTATTCAAAATAGTGCAAGGTATGCAATAATGTAAAATAAATTTAAATGAGAAAGAGTTTTGTGCTGTAACAACTGAACATGTAAAATGGGATATCAAGGCTTTGTGCTGGCAGTGTGACCCGCTCAAGATACTTAAACTCTCTCCAGACCATTGGCTTAATTTTTGGAAAAAGGTAATTTTACCTAATATTCAGTCAGTGTTGTAGACTATTTTGCCTCTGTGTGCTTGTAGCTTATGTGTGACCCCAGTAAAAGACACTCAGGGACTTGAGTGAGCAGGGGTTACCTTTGGCAAAGTGGTAACAAACAGTGGGGCTTGGACAAGCACTACAGGGAGTTTGCCAATAATTGCCCATGAGTGTGGGCTCAAGTGCATTAATTCCTCCAAGTGAAAAGGTCAGGAGAAGGCTGTGACCACAGAGTGAATTCCACACAGTAGTCTTCCAGTCAAGGTGCCCTTGAGGATACTTCTTTGGGTTTGGACATGCTGATCTCCAGACATCCCATCCAATCCTAACAATTCTGATTCTGTGATTCCCTGCTGGTGCCACCACTAACATCCACTTTCCAGTGTCATTCCCAAAGACAGGTGTGTCCAGAAAGATGTTGCCATGTACAATGAGGCCTGAAAAAATGTCCTTGCAAAGAATAAACCCTGAGATGCTCTTCTGGATTTTGTGTGGCCACAGTGGAGAGGATGAGGGACAGAAAAATCTCCACTTGGAAACTTTTAAGGACATTGAGAGCAGGCAACCATAGGTAGTTCTTATGGCAAGCTTTTACAAGGATTCCATTGTTAAACCTCTTTGAAAGCCTCTGGGGCTGTAACTCATAATTTCAGTTAAGGTAGGTCTCTCCTGAGCTTCCAGTTTGAATGCTAGGTTTAGAGTACTGGTGCTACACTAGCTTTTCAGAGCTGTCCCAGGCTGTGTGTTTGGATTGTTTGGGCACTGCTTTGGAAGTACAGATACAGAGAGTGTGGCTCAACAAGCATTCAGCAGAAAAAGATAATTTGCAAAGTTTCTATAAGAGCTGTTGCCCTTAACCTATTCTACATTCATCTTTGATATATTGTTTTTCAGAAGGTGATTGGAAAGTAAGCTGGGAAGGCAGAAGCAGATTATTTTTCCTACGTTGAGAAACATGGATAGACTCATCCTATACACAACTGACAGGTATTGTTAAATCTGAGACCATACTCACAAGTGTGTGTGCCCTCTCAGCAGAAGCAGCATGTGGACAAGAAGAGTTTATTAGCTACAGTAACTGGTTGATTTCTCTTTTCTTTTTCAGAGGATAGAGGCTGGGGAAACAGCTGATTGTGAGTTTATCTGGAATTAACAGAATTGTCTTTAGAGGCAGAGGGGCCAGAACATGTTCTGGCAAAGGAAAAGGGAGAGAAAAAGACTTAAATTCTTAGAGTGTGTGGATACATTTGGTTAGAAGATAAACATGAGAAGTCTGAGAAACAGACATGGCACTACTTCATGGAAAAATAACAGGCAAGTAAGTCTAGCTCTGAAAAATGTACAAGTTGGGTTTTTTGTTATGTTGGACTTTGTTAAATGCTGTAAACCATGGAGGAAGCTGTAACTATGTTTCAGGTCATCACCTTTTAAAAGGTGAAGGTTGTTGTACAAGTAGGTTAAACATTACTAGTAGTACATGAAGTAGTTTTAAGCAGCACTAGTTTAGAATTCAGTTAGTAGCTTTGCTCTGGTCACACTTAGTGGGCTGTATTTTAATACTGAGAGGGAAGGATTCCATTGCTCTTATTCATGTTGAGTTGCAGTCACTGGAACTAATTGTTGAATAAGGTATGCTCAGCATGAGGATGGGTGATGGAATCTAGTCCAGATGGAAATATCTTTTAGACTCCTTCTGTATTAGAGAGCAGCAATCTCAACACAGGCAAATCTAGCATGATTCTAAAATTGCTTTGAGCCATTCTGTGGCACATGGCAGTGTTTTTATAGATGAATACAGAGGTTGTTTTAAAGTGCGTGTGTTCCCCATCCCCACTCCAAAGTTGAACCACATTCACAGAAAAGACTGGGAAAACATCTGCATTGTAATTTTCTGTCCCATGTTACAACACCAACAGAAGGTGGGCTTTGCAGAAATTGCTACTTAACTGTAGCTGTATCAGAGTTTACTAAAAATGTTTCATTATGAAGTGCTTTAGAGGAATGCATTTTTCTGGCATTTATTTTCACTCTGTCATACTCTTCCATCACGCACAACTTCCTCAGATGCAGAAAAATACTAGCCCAGTTTTGTATACATATGCAAAATCTCTTGGAGAATAATACCAGCATGCCTGGGTGGTGAATTGAGGAATACACTGGAGATACAGACATGGAACTGAATTTATTTTCAAGCAAAACAGGAGTATCAGCTAAAGTATTACACAAAAGTGTGAGGCAATCTTCCAATGAATCAAACCCCAACTGCATAAAAGATGTATATAATGACAAAAAATCCCTAACTGCAGGCAGCTGATCTAGCCAGTTGCTCTTCTTAGGTGACCTTGGGAGCCAGGATACAGAATGAGGCACTCTGGTAGGGGACTAATGAGAGGAATTTGGACACCTCTGCACTTGAACCAAGCTGGCTAACACTGCCCTAATTAAAAGGCAAAACTAATGAGTAGCCGTTCTCTCTGATGCAATTCTAGTTAAGTGTGCTGTTTTTTCACTAGGATCTCATGCTCCTACTTGGGACCAAATAGGGAATATAAGAAGTAGCAGGAGTGCCACAGTAATACCTTTAGTGAGCTAGCTAAGATAGGGCTCTGTATTATAATTAAAGCAATCATCCTATGTTAAGTCTCGACAAAGAGCTACTCTCTTTGGTGACACTTGCAAAATATGCCTTAGAACCTCTAAAGTTCTCATCTAATGAGAACTCCTAATTTCTCTCTCATCTGCTTTCTGAGGATGAGAAAAGCTAACTAGGCAATAACTACAGAGAAATCAGCACATTTTCTTATTCCCACTGTTGAGGAAATGTTTGCATCCTTCATCCTGAAGTATACCACTAGAAACAGCTGATCAGTAAATGCACTAGACTACTTATTTAAATTGCTACTATGATAGAAATAAGACAAAAAACTCATTGTTTTTGAACAAGTCTTTAAAAAAGTTCATTATTTTACTATACTTGTTAGTAATTTAAAATACTGAATAGTAAAATAAAATATTCAGTAATATAAAACTAAATATTTGGATTTTCTGCCATGTAAAAGTTTCCTTGCACTAAAGGTGCAGTGATTTCTTTTTTATTTGTTTTAATAAAATTTATATATATCTTCTTAAAATAATTTGCACTAACTGATCCTATTAATCATTTAAGAAAAAGAAAAATCTTAAGAACTTTTGGCTTCTAGGAAGAATTGCATAGATAAATGCGACAATCTAGCTGGCAACCTTGCTATCATTTAAAGCAAATAGTGGTACAGGCTAGATTTTGAGCTGTGACTCTGCACAGGATGAAGGGATGGGGTGTAAAGCAAGAGGAGGGACAGAGCATTGTATCTCCTGAGTTTTGGTCCCATCTCCACCTTCAGGACAGGTTTGCCTGAGGAGCTGCCCTGTAGCTGCAGCAGCCTGAGCATTAAAGGCCCTCCCTCCCCTGCTTCACCTTTGCTCCTGTGCCATCGTTACACTGTGGCAGCATGGTGGTGCAGTGTATGGTGGCATATATTGGCCCTATGCCATTTCTGTGCTGGGAGCATTCTCCCTGGGGTCGCTTCAGACCTTCTGCAGCTCCTGTGCACTGCTGGAGAGGTGGGCAGGGGCTGCAGTGATCACAGGACTCTGGCTCTATGCTGGTCCTGAACTCTTTCTGCAGCCGGTCCATAAAGTAATCCCCAAGACTATTTCTGCCATCCTGGGAACAGTCAAGCCTGCGAGCATTGGTCAGCAGATCTCCCATCAGCTTGATCTTCTGGATTTTGGGCCCAATAAATTGTTTCTTGATAGTGCTTGCACTATGAGGGTCTGCATTTTCAACACTCAGGGCATAAAGCTCTTCAAAATACCGTAGCATAGTTTTCCATTGTACCATTGCTAGTTCCAGGGCTTTCATCAGACCGACTGCATAATCACAGTTTGGTTTCTGAAAACAAAGACAGAATTGTATTTACTCAAAAGAACAGCTCATGTATCTGTATTCATCAATGGATTCTTGCAACTTAACCTGGTGCTCTATAAAAGTTGTACTAGGATTTTGCAACACTTGCTTCCACTTTGGTGCATCTATTGTTTATTGCAGGCTTTAAACACAAGTGGCAGAATCCAAGCACTTCTTCAAGGAACAGAATTACATAGCAGCAGCTATGCCTGAAGAGGGTTCTTACACCAGGAAGCCTAATCACAGAATGGATGGGGTTGGAAAGGACCTTAAAATCATCTTGTCCCAACCCTTTGCCATATTCCACTAGACCAGGCTTCTCAAAGGCCCAACTAACCTGGCCTTGAACCTGGCCTTGAACACTCCCAGGAATGGGGCATTCTCTACTACTTTGGGCAAATTTTTCTGGTGTGTCACCACCCTCATAGTGAAGAAGGACTTCCTAATATCTAGCCTAAATATCTGCCCTCTTTCAGTTAAAAATTGTTATCCCTCATCTTAACACTGACAGAGTCCTTCTTCCTCTTTCCTGTAGGCCCCCTTTAAGTACTGGAAGTCCTAAGCTCATTCTTAATGCAAACTGAGTGTTAAGAAAGATTTTTACAATAGTCTTTTTACTTTCTACAGCTTAACTGCTATGATGGACAAAAGAGGAGCATTCTGCATTAGCTAATTTGGTAGAGGAGAAGCAGCTTCTTGGTCTTAAATGAGGCGGGTTATTTTTTTTCCTGAAAACATTTGAGTTATTCCTTTTTACCTTAGCAAGCCCAAGTTAGATCTTAGATAGTTCAAATTTTGTCATGAGCTGTAATTTAGGAAATTAACTACTTCCCCAAGCTGGATGGTTCTCCTTCCTTACTACTCCTTTTAAGTGCTAGTCATGTCTAAGCTTCCACTTAGGTTCAGTGTGAAGGAGACAAGTGGACTGTTTCAGCACAATTTAAGGGGTCCATAATCCATTACAGCGTACTGGAAACAGCAGTGTCCAGCTGAGTAAAAGGAAAGGGGAAAACTGTCCATATTCTTTTGGACTGGAAAGCAACTCCCTAGAGTTAGGACAGTATGTGTGACAGTTTCTAGGCATCACAATCAAGAACAAAACTGTGTACACAAGTATGCCAGATAAATTAACTGGAAATCTAACAGTGGGTGAATGCAGAGATCTGAATTACCATCAATATAATTCAGTAAGTTAAATGGATCATAGCTGCTTGAAAATTTGTTGGCTACTACCCACCTGGATGGTTTTAGAGCAGTAATGGCCTCCTCTTTCCTGCTGATACTTCATCAACGCCTCTGCGGCTTTTCTCTCTTCCAGAGCTTGATGCAGGAAGAACTTCGAAATATTTGGTAGAGCCACATGTGACTGATCAAAATATTCACCCTAAGCACACAAAACAAGAGTGTTAAGAGCTGCCAGATATGGGACTCACCTGCAGCAGAATGTGGCCTTAACAGAACTTGGGAGACCCTTCCAATGGAAGGTGTTTTGTTCACAAAGCACAATCACTTTGGAGACCTTGATCTGATTTCTACAATAAATGAAGTGAGTAGTTAGAGTATGAAATGAAAAATCTATACTTCTACTAGAACTCCTTCTATCCTTTAATATTGGTCGGGCAACTGTAGTAATGATGTTGCTCTTGCAGTAGCAGTTAAGAGATCTTCAGAATATTTTATTTATGAGTGGTTAGCATGTGTCTGTTTTGTAATTGTATTTTGTGGAGGGTTTTTGTTTTGTTTTTTAAACGTACTCGCAGAACAGGGAATATAAAATTTTTCCCTGCAGGCCTGCATTCCAGTCAAAAGTTAGCTTTCAAAGGTATGAGAAAGATGAGGCAAATACAAGCACAACTTTAGATCTGTTTCTCAGTTTTATTATGGACAATGATATTCCAAAATTATGGATACTCCTACTGAACCTTCAATATAAGATATATACCTTCAATGTAAGATATAACTCATGCCTGGGAAGGCATCTCAGGAAGAACATAAATCTGTTGGAGCAAGTCCAGAGGAGGGAAACAAAGTTATCAGAGGGATGGAGCACCTCTCTTGTGAGGAAAAGCTGAGAGAATTGGGTTTGTTCAGCCTGGAAAAGAGAAGGCTCTGTGTGTGTCCTTCTGGTACCTGAAGGGAGACTACAAGAAAGATGGAGAGGGAATTTTTATAAGAGCATGCAGTGACAGGACAAGGGGGAATGGCTTAAAACTGAAAGAGCAGGTTTGCATTAGGTATTTGGAAAAAACTCTTTACTGTGAGGATGGTGAAACACCAGAACAGGTTGCCCAGAGAAGCTGGCTCTGAGCAGCCTGGTCTTGGGAAAGATGTCCCTGCACATGGCAGGGGGTTTGCAACTTGATGATCTTTAAGACTCTTTCCAACCCAGGCCATTCTATAATTTCAGAAGTATTACAACCCTAAACCATCTGCTGGCCTTGTTCTGCTCTGTATGGGAAAGTAACAACTTAAACCACTGCCATATTTAACCATGCTAACAGACCTAATAGCCCTTATATTTAGAATATTTTATCCATGGTATGCCTGTCTCATAAAGAGAAGTATTACAGGGAGGTAGCAAAGGAGAGCCAGCAGGTTACACTGGTTGGAACACTGGTTCTGCACAGCCCTAATGGTGAGGAGAATGAGAGGCAGCAGCTGGGACTATGCCAAGAACCAAACTGAGGGAGCTAGAGCATCCTGATCTGCTGGTGCCCTGACCATGTGTGTGCAACACAGCACAGCTCCTGTCCCTTGGACATGGGTGTGCAACACAGCACAGCTTTTGTCCCTTGGGCATGCTCTGCACCACAGTACACAAACTGCAAATTGAGCTGTTGCCTTGTAGCCTGCCTAGGAGGGGCAAGCAACAAGTATGTGCATTTCCTAAGTTCTGCTTCTGATTGTCTTCTCTGCTTTCCTCTATTACCCTGCTTAAATAGGAAATACTTTCATTTCACCTATGTTCAGAAAGAAAATGAAGACATGTTAGATACCTAATATGTTTTCATTTTTTTTCATAAAAAAACAAGTTTATGTTTTTCTCTTATATTTTCAGGGCCTTCTTGGGATAACCTAAACCTGTGACACACATAGACGCATGGCAACCATAAACCATTGAGGAGAAAGCACATACTGGAATGTTTTATTAAGAACATTCATTGCTTTATTTGCAGCAACCTTTTCCTCAAGTCACTCATTCCTGTTTCTGTTGACAGCACAGCCAAGACTGAATGTTTTATAAGCAGTTCCTCAGTGAAAGCGTGCAGCACAACTTGGAGTTCAAGTTAACACATCTGCTTAACTGTTAAGGTAAATTTTTTATGTCAATCATTTACTATTTAGGATGTTTACATTTCTAGGTTTGATTTATCCAGTCAATTTCTAACTGAGTTTTCTCCATCCCATCCAGATGCCAATCACTACAACTTTTTTCTTCCACAGGTTTAACAGGTTTTACTGCATACTTAAATTTTCATTGAATTTATACTTGACACCAAACTCAATTGAAAGATCTTGGGGATATACTGAAAATAGTTTGTGTTGCTTCCCTGTGGATGCTTGCCATCAGAAGTTACAGCATTGATAATTTTGATAATTTTTTAATTTTAATGTCTCTGTTAAGTTATATGTTTGCCTTAACACTTGATATGTAGCCAGATATAATTCTGGCATGAATTTCACATGGTATCGGTGATACCTTTTATGATTTCATGTCCAAAGTTCATGCCTGTGGAGCAAGAAACCCTAAGCCATCCACGATGTTCACAGACTATAGTTAACCACACACAGCTATTCACCAAAGTTTGGGGAAAAACCCTCTCAAGCTTTATACTCCAAAGCTGTTAGCATCCCCTCTTCCTGTCCCTTTTCCCCAGGCAAAAGGCCCTCTGTGAATTACCCAAAACACACGAGCGCTCGTTTGTTTCACAGCCCGCGCGTTACGGACCGTCCTCGTTGTTCCGTGGCCGTGCGGGCGCAGCGGCCGCGGCGCGGCTTTGGCAGGAGCGCTGCCAAAGAGAGCCGGAGAGCCTCCAACCCCCCTGGGCCAGGACACAGGCACCGCTGTGCCGTCCCTGCCCGACTCTAAACCCTCCTCAGCCGGCCTCCGGTGGCTGCGGGGCGATGGGGCACACGCAGCCCGCCGTGCCCTCCCGCGGCCGTGCGCGGCCCGCCGCCTTACCAGCGCCTGCAGGCAGTAGTGCAGCTCCAGCTGGGCGCCGGTGAGGCCGCAGAGCGCCTCCTCCACGGCGGGCGGGAAGCCGTGGCGGACGCGGCTGGCGGGCAGCGGGCGGTGCGCGGGGCAGGCGGGCAGCGTCACCCGCGGCCGCTTGGAGCGCGGCTCGGCCATGGCCGGCGCCGCCATGGGGCCGCCGCAGCGCCGCCGCTGCTGTGCCGCCTGATATAGCCGGGCACCTGGGACACACCTTGCGAGCTGCCGCCCGCCCAGGGGGGAGGAGGAGGAGGAGAGGATGTGGGTGTGCGGATGCGGGGGGGCCGGCGGGGACTGCCGTAGTGTGCAGGGCCCTGGGCAGGCGCGCCGGGAGCGCAGACAGCTCCGAACAGCGCGGAGAACCCGCGGGTGCTGGCAAACAGCGTGAACAGTGAATCACTGGCATAAAAGATTTACCTTAACAGTTAAGCAGATGTGTTAACTTGGCCTCTATTCGAAATCGTGCCGCACACTTGTGCTGAAGAAGTGATTAAAAAACACTGGATCTTGACTATGAGTGACTTGTGGAAGTCTTCTTTATTAAGAACGCGAGTGTTCTTAAAACATTCCAGTATGTACTTTCTCTTCAGTGGTTTATGATTACACATGTACATGTGTCACAGGTTTGGGATATCCCAAGATGGTCCTACAAACATAAAATAAAAACATAAAGCTGTGTGTTTGACGTGTCTTCATTTTATTTCCGAACAGAGCAACACAGCTGAAGTGAAAATATTTCCTATTTAAGCAGGGTAATAGAAGAAAGCAGGGAAGACAATCAGAAGCAGAAGAACTTAGGAAATGCACATACTTGTTGCTTGCCCCTCCTAGGCAGGCTGTAAGCCAACAGCTCAATGTGCAGTTATGTGTACTGTGGTGCAGAGCATGTCCAAGGGACAGGAGCTGTGCTGTGCTGCACACACATGGTCAGGGCACCAGCAGATCCAGGATGCTGTAGCTCCCTCAGTTTGGTTCTTGGCAAAGTCCCAGCTGCTGCCTCTCATTCTCTTTGACATCAGGGCTGTGCAGAGACAGTGTAACCTGCTGGCTCTCCTTTGCTTCCTGTCTCTAATACATCGTCTATATGGGACAGCAAAACCATGGATACAACTCTCCTAATGTAAGAGCTGAGCCCTTTTCCAGGCAGTCACATTCAGTACCTCTGGTTCCAGCAGCAGCATCTGAGAGTGAGACCAGGCTGGGCCTAGGCTGGAATGGCTGGTGAGAGCATCTAGGCAGAGGCAATTCTGAGGAGGGAGTGAGCTCTGAAAAGTCCTGGGAATTTAGCAATGTGTGTATATGTCTTGGCTACGGGGTAAATTCTTTAGGTTTTTTGGTTTAGTGCTAAAAATGTTGGTGCTGAACTGGTCCTACCTATGCTTGTTAAACTATCTCCAGTATTTTAGTAACCAGTAACCCTCAGCTTGTACAGTAACTTCAAATACACGTTACTGATTTTTTCAACCGTTTTACCACATGGATGGAGCTCGGCATTTCTTGAACGTTTCTTTACCTTTAATAGATTCTGACCAGTGGAGAGGAAATACGAGTAATCTCAACACCCTTCAAAATCAATAATTTTCTCTTCAGTGACTTTGTTTAGTAAGCTCAATGTTATGTGCTGTTTTGTGGAATATTTTTGTAGCAGACCACTCCCCCACCAGCCCAGGATGCTAAGGGCAGAATCGTTTTCCATTACCTGTTTTAATTGTTATTGGATCTGACTGCCTAGAGCCCAGCATGAATCATCTGACAGTAGTCATGTAGAGATATGAGAACATTGCTCATGAGAAACTTAAATAATCCTTGTTCACTGCCTCCATCTCATATGCCATTCAGTCCTCTTTGTTTGCTGTAATTATCCTAATTATCCATTTTTTTAGTTCTAATTTAACTAAAACATGAAGAATCAGAAGTTTTGCTTAAAAAAATCAAACAGCATTTAAGCATTTGGGTAAAATTTCATGTGAGTAATAACTGTAATGTTTGCAAGCCTAAAATAAGTACCCAAAGTCTAAATGAGCAACGTATGACCTTATTCTGAAGTTCTCAGTAGGCATCCTCTTCTTCACTGTAACACTAAGGACTTTTGCTGGAAGGATGTACCTCTATCAGCTACATTTTAGCTCCTTCCATTCCAGCTGTCCTTGTTTGGGCCTGTAAACTAGTTGGCCTGTAAAGTAGTTGCTAGTGTTTTATTATTCCAGAATAATCCCTTGATTCTCTCAGAGGAAGAGGAACAAGTGTGGTACCTCTGTGTGTGTATGCATTGACATCTCAACCTAAATCAGTACTTTATGGCCTCCTTTCTTTGAATAACTTGAAGTGTGAAATAGCAATAACAAGCAAGTTAGCCAGTGTCCCCATGGAAAAGTTCGTAGTTGTATTTAGTTAATTGGGCATTTATTATGATAATTTCTGAGCATATAATCTCATAGAGGTTTGTCTCTGTGTTAATGGGCTTTGGAGCCTTGGAAAACATCATAAAGTTATCCCATTTCAGTGATGGACAGCTAAGAGACGAGGGCAGTTCTAAAGGCCATCTGTGATGCATGGAACTGATCTGAAAACTGACTGTAAAATTCTTTATACTCCATGTGTTCATTTTATAAGAACACCATTCAGTTTATTTTGCTTTGTGCTTCATAGAACTAAGGGAAATACACACCATTTGCATGGTTATCAATTGTATTATGGAAAAATTCCATGACAAAGTAATATGGGCATTCTTGCTACATAGCATGAGGTATGCTATTTGTATCTGGACTAGGGAAGGTATCATCTGCTCCAAAAGCTTGTGACCTCAAGAAATGCAGCATTCCAGGGAGTTGGCACTTTGTTCAGTTTCTTAGTTGCAACTTTTCAGCACAGAATCACAGAATATTCTGAGTTGGAAGGGACCCACAAAGATCATCAAAGGGTTGGTTGGAGGCACATGCCTTGATGAAAGGTATCTTTTAATTTTTATGATTTGGCATGATTTTGGTTCAACGTATTTTAAAGTGTGTTGAAAGTATATGGCAGAGTGGGAAGCCAAAACACCACAATGTGGTATACAGAACTACAATTAAAATTCTATCAATATAAGCTCTCTTACACATAAACCCATACCTTCTCTACTCCCCACTCCTTTTCCTATTTATTCTCTGGCAGAGTGCAGTAGAAAGGATTGTGTCAGTGGGCTTTAGCAACCCTCTCAAAATATTCTCTCTCCTGAGCCTACTTTGCAAACATTTAGTTGTATCTGGCCATTTTCTGCCCTGATTCTCTCATTTAAAGCTGGACTCTTTTGGCTGCACTTTGTGATCTGGAGTTAGTATTGTTTATTCTTTCACCACAGGTAGTAAGAGTTGTGGCTGTTGCTTCTCTCCAGCTACCATCTGTTTGCTTCTTTCTAGCTGTGATGGGTTTTTCATGTGCTTTGCAAATAGTCTATCTAATGCTGCCAGAGTTTTCTCATTCAGTGCCTATCAATAGTTATGATGAAAACAGAGGGCTGTGTGAGGAAAAAGTAAAAAAACAAATAAATGTACAATATGTATGCTTGTGAATTGGCCATCTTCATTCATCATTTTGTTTTGTAATTAGGTGAAACCAAAGCTCTCTGGCAGGAAATTAGGAATTATATTCATATGAACACCCATGAATTCATGATTGCTTTTATTGGACTTGAAGTCCTTTAACCATTTTTCTTACACTATTTTAGTCTCAACAAGTGCTTTATCTCACTACTTTTTTCTCTTTTTTACTTCGTTTATCCACGGAGGAAGAGCCAGCAAGATTTCTGAGTTGTTTTGTTGCCTTTTTGCACTGTATGACTCATAAAGTTAAAAAAGAAGCCTGAAATTTGGGTTGGTACTACTTAAGTAAGCATAGCAAAATAACCTCTTTTAACTGACTTTCAGTAAAAGTGGTCATCAGCAAAACATGACATAGCCCTGGAGAGGCAATGGAGAGGCAACAGTGTTGTTACCAGGCTGCAGCATGGACATTCTGGAAAATATTTTTTGTCTCTTTGTCACTGACCAAGTGGAAAGCACCAGTTTGCTATAGTGCTCTGAAATCAGCATGTTTTAGTGATACAAGAGAGGGATTGCTCAAAAATAAAGCCCACTCTCTTTGAAGCCAATCTCTTGTTGCTGTCAAACAGAACAGACAGAAGCCTGTATTTTGAGTTTATAAGTACTGAAAATTACTATGCTGTGCACGTATTTTGCATATATTCAGTTTAATAAAATGAGGTACCATAATGAAATTCTGTTTGAAAATTTCTTGGATTAACTTTTTAAATTTTGGAAATAATTTTTAAATGCCTTTTTTTGGCACTCACCTCAAGTACTCCAAACCTTAGTTTTCATTTGCTTTCCTTTTCTAGAGTCCCAAAAATTTCTTCCTGTCATTGAGATTTTTGTGTTTGCCAAACATCCATTATTGCAGTGTTTGAAGCCAGATGAGGTGTTTGAGGATGTTCTCATCACTGGAACCGGACATGTCTTTTTTGCCTTGAGTTTTCCCACATTGCTTCAGTAGCTCGAAAAAGTTGAGATACTTTTCATTCTGTTGTAACTTTTATCTCAGACACTTTGTTTCCATAGGCTTCCCAGGCACGAGTCTGCATGGCACAGATACTGAGATGTTGGCTCATTGCCTCTCTTCCTTGGCAATTAAGTTCTTCCTTAAGGAACTTTCTGAATGCTGGATAACATAAAATATTGTGATATATATAGAATTCTTTGGAACTTCAGTGATTGAAATCTGTCCTTCAAACAGAATGTGCCCAGAGCTGACAGGCAGATCTCTGCTGTGTCTAAAGCTAACATAGGAGACAAGCTTGTAAGAGTTTCTGAAATGCAAGCAGAGCTTATCTTTAACCTTGTGTCACAGAATACATATAAGAGGGTTTTCTAATCCATGCTATTTTTTTCTCTGCAGTATTTAAGTTAGATTATCTGTAGTTAATGCTTGCTGCTACCATGGGACCCTTCCAGGAGCAGAATTTGGAGATGGACAGCCTCTGCTGCTTCTCATTTGGAAGCTGCTCTGGGGCTTTGGTGTACAGGGCACATCCTGCCTGAGTACCACCAGCCCTCACCCTCCTGCTGGTTCCAGGTGCCCCTCCTTTCTTCTCTTTCTGCCTG